TTCTTTAGTGAAATCAGCAATTTCTTTGCAGGGCATCAAGAAAACAATCCGGCTTCAACAGCACACCGTCTGACTGTTCATTCCAATACAGGCAGCTCTAATTGCTTTTGTATCTCGACTGATGATATCCAGGGATCCTTCTTGACAGATCTGTCGATCATAGAATCCTCTCTAGAAGTAGTAGAACGCAATTTTCAACCTTTGTTATCTGCTGCCAACTTCCCCGTAGAACGATATTTGGAACATAGTCTTGATAAGGTCTATTTTTTCACGCGATATTTATCACAAATACTTTTTTGTGACATTCCACTTACGTATACGCCAATAATTTTCTTTCTTAGTTCCAATCCAAGACTGTTGGGAGCCATTTTTGCACTTGAAGTCATAAAAATAATAAAAATAAATAATTACGCTTACCGTGTTACATTTATCTTGTGGTGATACAATAATGCTCTGTGGAACACAAGGCCTTGGTTGGATGTGGACTGTATTGATGTAATGAAACACTTGTGACAAGAAGTTGTATTTCACAAGAAGTGAAATACAACACTTGTTGTATTTCACTTCTTGTATTGATGTTCTTCGATAAAACACTTTGATAAAACTCACTTCAATAAACTGTCTTGATACTACTGACTGATTGACTTCCATATACTGACTGAATTACATGTCGGTTTACATGCCTCTTATATAGTAAAATGAACCTGTGTGAACCTGTTCTAGAAGATTCTAGATGCTTCTTTTCAATGCTTCTGGAGGCTTCTGGATGCGTCTGGATGATTCTGAATGTTTCTGGATACTTTTGGATGTTTCTGGATGCTTCCAGATGCTTTTTCTGGAAACTTCTCGAAGCTTCTGCATGCTTCTGGAAACTTCTGGAAACTTCTGGATACTTTCTTTAATTATTAAAAAACTTCCGTGACGTTGACACGGACCAGACTTAAGAAAATGAAACAAACCAAAAAAGTTGCACTTGTTTTGTCTGCTGCAAAATGGCACTTGTCAACGAAATTCTGCCTGTGTACTGTCCCCTGTCAGCTGATCCTAGCTGTCTGAATCTGTAATATATGGGTCTTTACCAAACAAATCAATTCAATACTTATCTATTCTGCACCAATCATTTCTATACTTACTCCTTATTTTCTTTAACATTTTTTAGTAAAATAACTCATTCTAAAAAATTGCATTAAGAGCAAAAAAAAATTAAAATGCGAAAATTTTTCCGCATACATAAAGCTTAAAAGAGATTTATAAAATGGTTTACTTTTCTCCTAAGCGCATAAATTAAAACATATTATAGGGATCAGCAAATATTTCTTAAAATTCGGATTGCGAAGTTTACTAAAAAGCGAAGTTGACTTCGACTGCCGCTGCCGAATTGAAATAATAATTCGGCTTTCAGTTAAATTCGGTAACAATTGCAAAATTTCATTTAATTTTCAGTTAAATTCAAAAGTTATTTTTTAATTTTTATTATAAAATAATTTTTTTGAACTTTAATAATAGTTATTATTATTTTTTTATTTCAGAAAAACAATTATCATTCTTCATCATTAATAAGTTCTTACTTATCACTTTCAAAAAATCTTTACGCTAACAAAAAGGGAAATATTTAACATAATATTTTTCACGATCTTTTTCCTTTACAATATTGATTTTTGAAATTTTTCAATAAACATTGCTAAAGTTTGTTTGTAGCAGTTGTAAAGATTGTATAACTTAAGTTCTCATTATTCAGCATTTTTAGATAATACATTATTCATTTTTTTAATGCAAATTGTTGCTTTTTGTAACTGTATATTTTTTTGTTCTAATAAATAAAAAATTTTCATTTGGGTTTCACTTGGGTTTGAAATATGGTTAATTACGAACTAAAAAATAATAATTTTGATTTATAAAATAAAAAATGACTAATTTAAAACTTTCATTGTTTTTATAAAAATAACTTGATGTTTTGGTTCGCAAAAAAGTTCAAGACATGGATAACGGTCCATGTTGTTTTTTGTGTTTTGTTTTTTTAAAGTTTTTTAATTTTTGTTAACTTATGAAAATTTTGACTGATCTTTCTTATCTATAGTTAAGTAATAAAAGCATAATATTATTTGTCCAGTATTATTTTATATCTAACTATTGTTTTTATATTGTGTATATTATCAATCAAAATTTTGATAGTTTAACCAAAGTTAGATTTTATTTAAATCTAATTATGTGTTAAATACCCAATAAAAATAAGTGATCAAAAGGAATAACAATTAAGTTTTCATTTATTAGATTGTTAACTGCCATTTCTTTTTCCGTTTTTCACATCAAAGATATATTTCAATAAACTTTGAAAAAAAATTAAATTTAATAAACGGATATCATGCCTCCAGTAAGTTTAATCTGGGAGCATTTCCTCAAAAACACACCAGTAAACTTTAAATTAACTTGTAAGATTTGAGGATATATAAACACCTCAACACTCAACATTTACTATCCATGTTTACATGAAAAGTAAGCACAAAGACATCAACAAACAGTTTGAGGAGAAAAAAAAGAGTTGCAGTAGAAGAGCTTGCTAGTATAGCAAAAAGATTCAAAAGTGGTGTTGGTCTTTCCATTCAATCATCAATTACAAAATTCATAGTGCAAAAGAAAGCTTATGCAGACAACCTGACAACTATGCTTTGCAGAACCAACACTCCATTCAATATTGTCTCCACTACAGATTTTGTTGATTTAATCAAGTCAATTGACTTACCGTTAATCTGCCAGAATGAAAAAGTTAAGAAATGTTAGATAAGTGACTTTGCTTTGCTTTCAGTGCATTAACTTTAGCCATTACATTTCACAAGAATTTGAACTTAAATCATTCCTTTTTTTTTAACTTCTTATTTACTTTTTCATAAACCTTATGCTTTGCATTTTATATTTTGTTATCAAACAATAACAACAACAAAAAAAAATTTAACTGTTTTTATTTGTTTCAATTTTTTGTTATATTAGTTTAAATTTTTATATCTTTCTGTTTTTCTTTCAACATCTTTCTGTTTAAGTTTGTATTTTTCTTATGGTCATTTAAAGTTTGGACAAACTAAACATTTTTGTTATCATTTTGTTTAGTTTTATAATAATAATAACTAGTAATAATAAAACTAATAATATTTTTTGTTCCTAATTATTCAGATGGTGCATCAATAACAGAGGTGCAAATGTCATCTTGGCAGTTAAAAAAAGCTTGCAGTTGCAATCAGAAATTATATGTGCTGATCACACTTTGCACTTAATAGTGACAAAAAGCATTGCAAACGTGAAACTGATCAAAGAAAAAGGTGGTAAGTTGGCTGCACATCTGCACAGGAGCACATTGTCAAAAAACCAAAATTAAAAAAAACATGTGCTGACTTAAAATTTACCTATAAAAAGGTTATTTTATCTTTTTTTTTTTTTTTTTTATTTGCATTCACTCCCAACAAGGCTGCAAGCAACCACTATCAAGTTGGGAGTTACTAGGAAAAAAAAAGAACAGAGTTATAGAGCAAGGAAACGGTTGACAGAAGACTTGAAAAGTTGAAGGTTGTATGAGTCAGGAAAACATGAAGATGGGAGAGAGTTCCAAAGGATTGAAGTGCGGGGAAAAAAACTAGATAAATAAAAGTTTTTAGAACATGCAGGGACAGATACAGTAAACGAATGAGACTTAGCTGAATGACGAGTAAAACGAGAATGAATTTTAGTTGATGGCACTAGAGATGATAACTCCTTTGAGCAGTGACCATGATAGTATTTGTAGAAAAGAGAAAGAGATGCAACTTTACGACGATGGGAAAGAGGTTCAAGCTTAGCAGATAGATTCTGTCAATATTTCTGCTGACAAAACACCCACAGTCCATCAAATGATCCATCTTCAATTTTAACAATTTTTATAACTGGTTTGTTTTATATTTTCATGAACCTAAAATTAGATGTGTTTTATATTTAAATTAGACTTTATTACTGTTTTATATTTAAAACTAAATTAATTTAACATTCACATTTGTTTTGCTATTTTGTATTTTCTTGAAATTGGCTACATTTACTATTCTTATGCCAATATCAGACTTGCTGACCAAAAGAAAGAAGAATATCTGAAACAGTTAGCAATGAGCAATTTAAAAAATACTATAAAGAAGATGGCATGGATATAACCACCTATGCGATTGCTCACATGGTAGACCAAGTCTTTCAAGGCAAACTCCTTAAAACAAAGCATGACAGATATGAACTGACCAAAACATGCAATTGAACATCATCCTGACTCATCTGCAACAAATTTTTACTGGTGTTTAGATGTTTTTAGAAATTTCAAACTTTTTAAAAAAAAAAACTTTTTTTCCTTTTCGTTTGTCATAACATATAATATCCTTTGTCATAATATATAATATCCTAATATGTATATATGTTATGTATATAAAATCTATAGAACTTCAAAAATATTTTATTTTGTATTTTAAAAAATTAAAAAAGATTAAAGAAAAAAGTGTAAGGATTTGAACCACAGTGATTCACTTTAGAAATGTTCCGATCTTACCACTTTGGAGTATTGTTTGATAAATGTTTTAAAACTATTTTATAAACAAAAGACTTTATGAAACAGCAAATGAATGCAAAAATCATCAAAATTAAGATGTTACTGCAAATCAATTTTTCACAAAAAGTAAAACTGCAAAACTTGATATATGTTTTAACATCACATAATTTTTGATTACATAAGATATTTGTATCATTTTTTCACACTTTCATTCACATTTTTTTATAAAAAAAAGTGCTCGCTATTTTTCTTGCCTTTAACTTGGCCAAGTAAATGGCGAGAGAAGAACTCACGGCAGCCATTATACCCAATTGGGTTTAATGGCTGTCGTGAGTTCTGTGTAAACACACACAAATGAATCAAGGCAGCAGCAGCAAGTTTAGTATCAAAATATTATAGGATAATACTATAGTAAAAAGTATTGTAAAAAGAAGTTTAGTTCAAACATTACTTGTTTGACTCCAATATTAGTGTCTCAAAATTCCATTTAATTTCTCTACCATAATCATCCGCCCACCAGAACGCAGGAAATGAAGAAAGTCTTTCACCATTCTACAAAAATTAAGGAAAAAAAACTAAATACAAGAAAAACATTTACAAAAAACATTTGATTACTAACATTTATTTATTGAAATTTTTAAATTAATTTTAAGCACTTTTTAAACTTGCTTTTAAACAATTTTTAAAATTGTAAAAACCAAATAGGAGGAGGGACCTGGTCCCACTCCAGGTGGCTATTTAAAAACTTTAATCATGTGGAAACAATTCTAAATAGTAATAAATTTTTTTACACTTCTCCAAAACCCAGGAGGTCTACTTTAGTCAAGGAGTTTTTTTATAATTTGCTGTTATACTTCTCTCTTAACATTTTAACTTCTCTCCTAACATATTAAGCTCAAAACCTTGTCAACATAAAACTAGTATTTACTGAAATAGATTCTAATAGGAACCATGAATTCCAAATGCTTGCTTGTTAATAAAAAAATTTAAACTCAAGCATTTACAGATTACTGATTCACTCAAGTATAAGAGTTATCCAATCAAATAAAATAACCCTGATACTAATAATACATACTTTTTCAAAGAATGCTTCAACTAAATATACAAAAAAGATTATCATTTTATTGTTCAATAAAAATAAAATTGAACTTTAATACAATATACTTCAAATCAAAATAAAGAATCTATTACTTAAGATAATGAAAACTATACCAACTTTCAAGTAAGTTACAGAGGTGGTGATTGCATCACTGCTCTGTAAATTGACTGTCAGGATGAGCTTAGTGTGTATTTAAAAATTTTAATTAATATTTTTACTAATATAAATTATTAGTAAACAATTAAACTGTAGGTTTTCTATAAATAGCTATTTTCACATCAGCTACATTATTTTTATGATGAAATGATAAGGTCATTAAGTTAATGGTGGACTAAGATTGGTTAGAAAAAAATTTGATAAAATGATGCATATTATTTATAAAACTAAAAAACCTTTGCAGATTTGCAATCAATCCATGAAATACGAAAAAAAATATCATTAATATATCTTTTATAGAGTGAGATCGAATACTGAAAATTACTTGATATTTATTTGTCCTATCTACCCATAAAAATGCTTGCAAATGGTGGTGCTATTCTTGTCCCCATAGATGTATGATTTTAGGAGTTTGTTCCACATATCATTTGACAGCATCAATACCTTCCCTATGCGGAATATTTTTATAAAGAGAGATCACATCAGCTATAACCAAAAAAAAATTTGTTGATGTGATAGTACACGATTGGATTATTTTAAGAAATTGTGAATAAACTTGTTATGTCTTTAAAATATGCTGAGAGTGTTTCAAATAAAGATTGCAAAAATTTTGAATCAAATTTAGATAAGGTATCCACCGACTCATTACAACCAGAAACTATAGGGTAAAGTGGTATATTAGTTTTGTTATTTTTTGAAAAGGCCATAACATAAAGGAGATCATACCATTATTTAATGATCCATTAATGAGGTGGATCATTAATCAATTATATTATTTAAAAACTTTGGCATATAAAATTCGCTGAATGGTCACACACAAGCAGTGAACGCCGGAGCGAAGAAATGAAGTACATTAAAATAAAGGAGAATTATTTATTAGACAAAGCATATTTTGACAGTTGTCAAGACAAAAATAAAGGTTAATTAGAGGAATATTTAAAAATAAATAAGACAGGCTATACACCCACAACAATAATAACAATAAAAATAAAAATAAAAAATTGTTTTATAAACACCAATATGAACGAAGATATATATCACCAGACAAAAACTTGTAAAACAAAAAACGGATCACAAAATAAAAAATCTGATAACAACAATGAGAGGCATTTAATAATGGAAAAAAAACATTAATGCTAATGCGTAAACATAATTAGTGTAGTGATTAAGTAATAAACATCTCCTCAGAATCGCGTCTATTATTACTGGCGTTTTGATGAGGATCAGCATTTATAACTAGTTTATCCCGTCAGACAAACGTCATCGCCACTTATGCTTTACCCCGCGACTTACGCCTATTCCATACTGCAGTAAAAAAGGACTCACTACAAATAGCCAAAACCCAACCAACCCCAAATTTGTAAAGCACCAATATTTTTTTGATGATATGATATAAAAAGTGTAGATTTACTGAACAAACAAAAATAAAAATAAGTAAATAAAAAACTTACCATACCACAAAAAGAAAACATGAAAACAAAATAAATTATAATAGAAACATAAAAAAAATGAGGTGGACCAATCAATTAGATTATTGACAAATCTACAGATTTTACTACTTTTAGTAGACTCATACTGTAAGAAATAAGTGACAGGGGTCTCAGCCCTGGCTAAATATTTAAACAGTTAATAATTTAAACAGTTCACTCAAATTTTATAATAGGATTAAAATTGTCAGGGAAAAATGAAATTTTAC